GACCTAGGGGCTCTAGTTACTCCCTGCGGAGACAATCCCCGAGTTTTCCGCCCGCGTCCCCGGGCCCCAGGCTCTTCAGCTTGAGCGGGCATCTCGTCGAGCAAGTGCTCAGGTTTCTGCCGAAAGCTGCCTCCCGGCTCCCCGCTCGGCCGGGAGGGGGGTAAAGGCAGTTTTATCAGGACGCCGAACGCGGTGCTCGGAGCCGCGGTGCGACCGGCGGCCCGCGACGGCCCGCGCCGAGCCTGGGGAGCGGAGAGCGGTTGGAGTTCACCCGAAAGTTACCTTCTCACTCGGGGGGCGCTCAGGAGCGGGACGTTTTTGTCCAAGCCTCGCACCCCAGCCTTTCGTTCTCAGGGGCCGGGCGGAGGCCGCGCCCGCGGGAAGGGAGCGTGGGAACCGGCGGGAGCGCGACCTCGCGGCGCCGGCTGGTGGGCGCGCGGACCCCTTGAGGTCCCGGCAAGGGTCCCGCGGGCGCGAGGTTTGCAGTAACATCATTTCCCCAATCGACTCCTTCGTGAAGCTTCGTGGACGACCCTGGAGAAACGAGGAGACTTGGCGCAGAATACAGGGGCCAAGCGTGAAAGAAAGGAATGGAATGACGACGGGAGGTGCGAGAGGGAGCAGAGAAAGCGGCCGGGCGGGCGTCCCGGGCAGGCTCGCGGGGCTCCTGGGCTGTAAAGGAGGCTGGTAGCCTATGTGTAGGGAGCTTTGTCGTTAAGATTTGGAGGGCCTGATCCGGAGAAGGATATATTTTCCTTGAAGGTGGCTCTTGAACAGCCGCCTGAGCAAGGAGGGACTCCTGCTCCCGGGACGGGCTGTGGAGCCAGGCGGGCCGCGGCGAGGAGCTGAGGCCCTGGGGCTCCTTTTGTGCCGCTGTCCAGCTTCGGGGCTGCCCTGTTGTGGCCCAGTATTATGGGGCTGTTTCCAATCTGATGCCCTTTACAGTGTGTAACAGCCTCCGCTCGAGGAAGGCATGCTGCTTGTAAGTCTGAGAATTAAGGGAGTATTAGTGATGGGAGAGCCTTTTGTTGTTAGGAATCGCCTTTCTTCCCAAGCGGGCATGTGAGTGTGAGATGTGGGATGCACGTTTAGAGTCTGTGCAGCTATTCGCCCTTCGATTAGCGGCTAAGGCCAGAGAGCGTGGGTGAGAGCAATCAATTCTGCCTTTTGAGAAGCCGCCCCACAGGGAGGCGCTCTGCCTCCCGGCTCTGTCGGTGATGCCACCGCGCCTGCTGCCCTTCCCCCGGGCGAGCGGGCGCTGCCATCTCTAAGCCGGGCACGGCTGGCGTCTGGTAGCGTCCGTCTGTGATGTGTGGGAAGTGGGGTCCTCTGTGGTCCCGAATTTCACTGCATGAATGAGATGTTTCCTTGTCAGGGAGGGGTGAGGAAGCAGCTGGGCTGAGCGTTTGGCATTTTGCTAGGGTGACGTGGCGAGGAGATGAACGCTGTATGGAACGCTTGTAACCTGGATGGGGGTAAAGCTTGGGTAGCTTTATGTGACAGGAGATCCGAGAGGTTGTGGGAGGAGAAAACAGTGGTCGGCTGCCCAAAAGTAAGCTTCTTGCTTTCCTGCATTAGAAGAGCAGCCACCGCCAGTGCCCTTCGGCTGGCCAGCCGCGGACTGTGGTGTCTAGCTGTTTTGAGAGATACGCTTCTACTTGTAAGTCTGGACCCTGATCCAGAAGGCTGATGGCCATGCCCTCCCCTTCATCTGTGTATTGCTCAAAAGGTTTAGAAAGATTGGGTAGGGAGAGAGCCAGGGATGATATAAGGGGCTGCTGGAGTTTCTGGAAATGGGGCTTGATATTAATGGTTGGATCTAAAGGTTCTGTTAGGGGTCCCCGTGTGACCTGGTAGAGGGGTTTGGTCAGGATGCTGAAGTTAGGGACCCATGTGTGAAAGTAACCCACAAGTCCTTAAAAGGATAGAGGATCCTGTTTGGAGGAGGGAGGGGAAAGGGAGGCTAAGAGTTTCTTTCTGTCTAGGGTAATAGCCCGGTGTCAGGGAGATAGGGCTAGTCCCAGGTAAGTGACCTGAGGAGTAGATAATTGGGCATTTTTGGGACACACCCTTGGGGCATCAGCCCATCTGTATCAGAAGCCCTAATAAAATTGCCTTTACCTTCTCGTCTGGCCTCGTGTACCTCCTCACAAGCCTAACACTTTCAGCTGCTAAAACCTGGCCAGCAGCTCCCCTGACACCTGGTCTACTTGGATCCCCACAGCCTGGTCCTCATTCTGTGAGATAACCAGCAGCTTCCCTGCATCCACCCACCAGGTGCCAGTAGCACCTCCCCTCAGTTTGACGACCAAAACCAAAATCCCTAGACATTGTCTCTGATTGCTTCTGGGTGGCTTGAAAGCAGGTAGATTGAGCAAGGGTGCAGAAGGGGCTGACTCCAGTTCTTCAGAACTGAAGGCCTGAAGCAGGCAGTCCCAAGGCCCCTGGGAGCAGGCCCAGTGCGTCCCAGACCCCTCCAGAGGTTGGGACTGCAGGAACCAAGCAACCAGCAAACCCAAACTTAGTTTCCCAGGTATGATGGGTGAAAAAGGTGGTATCTGCAGAGGGACACAGTATCTTGTCGCTGCAGGGGGCCACTCCTGTCCTAAGTTAGCAAACTCCTTTTCTGATTCATGTGTTGTCTCTTAGGAGTTTGGTTTATGTGAGGCTGCCCCCCAAGACACCCACAAAAGGCAACGACCAGCCGGGTCTCTGGCTCTGCTGGCCCAGGCCAGCGTTCTCTGGGGGAAGCAGCAGTGCCTCCCCGGTGAATCCCGACTGCACCCCAAGCTGCAGAGAGATCACCAGAATGCAGTGAAGGGGCCAGGACAGATATTTATTGTTAGAGAAAACAGGTACCAACAGGCCCCAGGAAGGAGGCATCATGAGGAGTGCAGGAGGCAGCGGGGAGTAACCAGGAACCAGTGCAGCACCATCTGCATTGGAAGGCCACATGGACACTAGGCCACAGGAAACCACGAAAAGGAGGGAATATCCACCCCAGGTAGAGCACACTTGCTTAATATTGACTGAAGGAGTAAAGGGATCACAAAGTAAAAGTTCAACAGCTTTGACTAGTTGCAGAGTTAAATTTCTGGACAATAAATTAACAGTGGGAAACACCAGACCGGTGTCTGCCCCACCACAGGCCCAAGGCCACCAGCTGTATGTGAGAGTGTTCACAAACCCACTTCCCAGGGGATGCAAGGTGAGAGCCAATACGCTGAGTATGCAAGCTCACCAGGAAACAAACATACACACACCAAGAGGCATGTACACAAAGAACAAAGAGAGCCAGAATGCCATGTGGGTAAGGCTGCAGTGACCCGAGGCACACATGGTATGACGGGGGTGCTGTGGAGTGGTCTGTGTAACCCATACTGGGCACCCCCAATGCCAAGACCAAGGCATGCACTAGAGCTGAGGCACCGCGGGTGCTCACCTGGAGGGAACGGTGACTTCAGACTCAGAAACCCATATCTGCGGGGTCTGCAGGTGAGTTTGGGAAGCAGCATCAGCCCGGTCCCCCTGGTGAAACCTGGATCCTGATGGGACCCTGGTCAAAAGGACCACCCTGCAGTTCACCCAACAGGTGGCTGGAGTTTGTGTGGCAGGTGCAGGCTGGATGGAGAGTCCATTAGCATCCCGGGACCCCAGCACCTGGCCCGGCAGGAAGCGATCATGTGGCAGCACTTAGGCCTGAGGAGCTGTGTCCCAAGTGGTCCACTTGGGTAAGTCAGGACACTTATCTGGGATTATGGCTGGCCCAGGAGGATACACAGGGGGTCCAGTTCCTGGGGATGGGGGACTGAGTTCAAGGGCTGGTGCTCCAGCCCAAGAAGGACAGTCACTGAAGCCAGCATATCGGGGACAGCGGAGGCCTGGTCCAGAGGGTACTTGGGTCCTCAAAGAAGCACCGCTGTCTGGCTCGGGGCTACAGGCCTTCTACCAGGCTGCACGGGGTAGGGTTCAGAACCCAGTGGCCAAGAGCATGCAGACCAACGTCTTCAAAGCTGTTGCCAGAGTGGACACTACAGCAGGGCGGCAGCGGTGTGGAGCGGATAGCTCCCCTGCGCTCAGTGCTTCGTCCCTGGGCGCCCTTTCCGGTGGCGGTGGCGAATGAGACACGAGCTGTAAGCAAAGGTTTTCCCACATTCCTTACATTCGTAAGGCTTCTCTCCAGTGTGGGTTTTCTGGTGTTTTAGGAGATTCGAGCCGCAGTTAAAGGCTTTCCCACACTCACCGCATTTAAAGGGCTTTTCTCCTGTGTGGATTCTGTGGTGCTTCGTGACGTTGGAGCTGTGCCGAAACGTCTTCCCACACTGGTTGCACTGGAAGGGCTTCTCTCCCGTGTGCACCCTGTGGTGGCTAATGTGATCGGTCTTGTGCTTGAAGATGAGCCCACACTTGCTGCACTCGTAGGGTTTCTTTCTCTGAAAAGGAATGAACACAGGAACCCCCTCAAAGTCATCCTTAAATGAAGCACCAAAGGTGTGGAATATGTGGGCTGCATCCTCAGGACTTGGCCAGGCTTTGCTGTGCTTTTTAGCCAGAGCAGCTCACCTGCTGCCCCCCCCCCC